AAGAAGTAAAAATTAATTTAAAATAACATATACATCAATAAGGATAATGTTTTAAATCAAAACACCAGAAAACCTATGAATTCCAAGTTGTATTGAATAATAATTTGGTCACATTTGTTTTCAACGATAATTTTAGCCCTCCAGTGGCACAGTGGTATGTCTACGGACATATACTGTTTGAAATCGGGTTTCAATACCCGTAGTGGGCAGAGCACAGATATTCTTTTGTGTAGCTTTGTGCTTAGTAACAACCAACAGCGATAATTTTAGTGTTTTGAGTGAATTTAAAAATAGTCAATATATATATAGTTTTCTTCTGGTGTATTAATAATGCTCATAAGTTTGTTAGTTTATCATATCGTGTTGTCATGTTTCTTAACATTTATGCTAATTATTAATTCTACTTTTACACGAAGTATGATAAAATGTATAAAAATAGAATTCTGAAACGAAACTTACAAGTTACAGACCAACTTATATTTTTTTTTATAAACGTACGTCTTTAACTTGTAGAGTTGATTGCGCGTATACTGCTTAATCTCTCTTACCTCTGTATTCAAAATTCATTCGAGTATATATTTAAGCATTAGAACAATGAGTATCTTTGAAATAATTAATTGTGCTTATTTTCCTACCAACGAACGTATATGTGATATAAAAACTACGAATGTTCAATTCTTTTGAAAGAGTTTTATCAAAGACATAGATTTTGTTTTGATTTTTGGAGAGTCTTGACGAAACTAAATTGCACATCATATGCCAATTTCTGTCTTTGAATTTCTTTTCTCTGTAGACTGGATGATTAAATTTGTAATCAGAATTAAGTCAAAGTAAAACTGATACTTAGCTATTAATTAACTATTAATCACAAGAAAGTTTTGAGAAAATTAAAACGAATTATTCTTTTTTCTTTTACTACACTTATTGATGATCGCCCGGAGCCCAATACTTCTCGAAGTTTCTAAATGCTTTAAAGCGCATATATCATTAAAAAATTTAAATCCGTAATTTTCAAAAACAAGAGTTCAAAGAATTCACTGTCTAGTTTCTTTTTTTGTTAGAACCTGTTAATCCTAAGCTTAAGGGAATAGGTTACCTTGACTTCTCGTAGCGTATAAAGTACAGAAAGTACCGACTATGTATCAAAAAATTGTATATAAGCTGACAGGTTACGTAATAACAAGACAAAATGTTCATCGAGTACTAAGTTGTATGTGTGTTTTTGTAGAAATGTGAGGCTGCATCAGCGACTCAACAGTAAAAAGAAACTCAATATATGAAGAAGTGTCGAAGACAATCAATTCTAGCTAAAAGCTTACTTCAGAGAACATTTTTATACAAGTAATGTAATGGAAATATTAGGCTGTTTACAAACTGTAAGCTTTCAAGATTGGTCAAACTGTCGAAACTTGAGAAAATCATTGTTTCTATTAACCTTTAGGACTCGGAACGTTCTTAAATGTCACAAATTGAACAATTAGAAAAAGCCCTGAATATACAAATGTGCACTCAGAACAGCTTTTGTAAGCAAATTTAAGAGAATTTTGGAATGGGCCAGAATGTAAAGGATGGCTTTTGTCTTCATGACTAATTTTAGGGATTATTTTTTTAATCATTGTCTTTGAGGGTGCATACGTTGGAGAAGAAAACATAGTCTCCTCAGAGACAGAAAAAAAAAAATTAGTGCGTTTCTACACTTTGAGGAAGGATATGTAACTTTGTTTAATATCATTTATTATTTACTTATATGGTATTACATGTTTTAATATTCTAAATTAAATCAGCAAAGAAACACTCTTTACCTATCTTGAGGTTACTAACTGCTTTTCACTGAAAATTATATTTACAGTTGAACTTGCAAGCTAGTGTCGTCGATATTAAAATTATATGAGGATTGCTAAGCAATTTATACAAATTGTTTGACTTTCAAAAACATAAATGTAACATTACCTTACAATTTACTTTGTTACTTATATGGGACAGCGGTAAGTCTACGGACTTACAACGCTAAAATCCGGGGTTCACTTCTCTGCGATGGACACAGCAGATAGCCAAATATGGCTTTGCTGTAAAACAAACAAACAATTATTATCCATATATATAAACGGAAGAAGCAAAAAAAGGGGTTTCTTAAATCCCAGTTTCTAAAAAAGAAGAAAAGGTATCTGAATAGGTAATTTAGTAAGTTTATTGATTTCTAAAGCATTTTTATACGAAAAACAAAATCAAATTGCTCTTCTGCTATCTCGTTGTTAAAACGAAACCATATTTTAAATTGTCGAGTTTCAAATGATCTTTTAATAACAACCTTTTTTGTTAATCTTGTATTGTTATGGCAGTTGGAATTTAAATAAACAATTAAAAATACCTTTTGTTTTGTTTTTAATTGTTTACAATTTTCTAACGATTTTTATATTTTTTTTTCAAGGTTGTTGTTATACGAGATACACACAAAAAATTTACAGATTTATTTGCCATGGAGTGGTTTTTATGAGTTTCACAATGGTTCTATTTTCATCTTGATAGGATTGATCCATCCTGACTAATACCTGTGTCCAGAAACTCAGACTGCTAGGCTGAATATTTGAGTTGTTGCTACTAAATATTTCGAATTAGTAGAAGAGAAGGAAGAAAAAGAAGTTCAAATGAACGCAGGTTCCGACTTCATTTAAAGATAGAATGCACGAGTTAATTTTTAATATTCTAGAAATTTCCTATACCCCCCCCCCCAAAAAAAAAGAACCTGACAGTGAATTCCGGAGTAAAAAAGACAAAAACAAATCCTGTATCATGTTTACTTCGAAACGAAACTTATAAACTATTTATCCTTATAAACACCAAGAAATACGAACTGTTGAAAAGGTCTAACTGTCTTTGCTTGTTTTGGATTTCGCGCAAAGCTACACGAGGGCTATCTGTGTTAGCCGTCCCTAATTTAGCAGTGAAAGACAGCTGCTTTAGTCATCACCACCCACCGCCAACTTTTGGGCTACTCTTTTACCAACGAATAGTGGGATTGACCGTCACATAATAATGCCCCCACGGCTGAAAGGGCGAGCATGTTCGGTGTGGCAGGGATTCGAACCCGCGACCCGCAGATTGCGAGTCAAGCGTCCCAACCACCGTCTACTGTCTAGCCGACATTGGCGCTTGTTGTTAGCATTATCGTTGAAACGATTTGAAATAGAACTGTTAGAAAATTTAACATTCATAATTCCACTTAAATTTAAGGGTGTAAGAAACTCTCAAGTTTTTTTTATTGTTATTGAACCTTTATTGTTTTATGTAAAGGAAATCACTCTCTTTATATATATAAGGACATATTGACACGGTATATATACACACAATGGGCTTATTAGCAGTACCTATGTTCTCAAGAAGATATGGATATGGACACGGCATATATGTAATGAATTTGTTTATTCGGTACTTATACAAAGAATATATTTCACAAATGACCCCATGTGGCTAAGCGGTCAGTACGAGGGCTTATAACGCTAAAAATTGGGTTTCATACTTGCAGTTGGCTTAGCACAGATAGCCCATTTATGGGGCTATGTGCTTAACAACAACAAAATATTTTTCACGGTGAAATATATATATATGTAAGTTACATAAACTTGTAAAGTGGGAATCGAACCATGATGTCATTTCATTAATATATCTGTACACTATTCTAACGATACAGCTCTCGTAATCAAAATACTACAGCCACTTTATAACTAACTCTCAGTATGGGGATGTAGAGAAATAACGAAGTAATACGTAATATGGTGTCGAATACAACGTTTTTGTGAAATTTTATTTTGAAATAAGGAACTTTAATAAGAAAGTTCTACCCAATGAAAGTGGCAAGGTTTTATTAAATTTGTTGTTACTTTGGTATTTTTCATCTGAACCACATCTTACGCTTATATGGACTAAATGGCCAGATCAAAGACAATTAAAGTTGAATCATAATTATATTCTATTTAGAGATGCTGAACAAAGGAAATCCACCACTTGAAACATCCGCCATCTCGCAGGATTGACTTTCACTCTTATAACGCACTTAAAGCCGAACGTATGAAACATGTCCATCGGTGTATTTTTTTGGACCAAACCTAGGAATATTTTAGATCAGCAACCCGATAAGCCAACCAACAGAGCATGACTGGCCCTTTTTTTTTGTTTTTTTGACAAACGAACTAAAAACTTTTTTTTTTTTTTAGATTTGCAAATTTATTCCACCAGTTGTTAATAGATGCTCAGTAAATGAAAGTAAATGAGAAACGCACTTTTTAACAGATATCACATTACAATGTAATATAAAAGAAGTCATTTAAGAATGTATCTGTGCAGAAGGCTATAGTATTGAGAACGGCATCGAATTATACACTTACTCTTTTAAATTGATTGAAAATCGTTAGAACTATAGACATTTTCTGAGATTTTGGGTTTTGTTATTCTTAAAATTCTACATCGTGGTTTAAGCACAGCATACGCAGAGGCATGGTACTACCGAATAGCACCAGAGAGCTGTCTGGCGCCTGGAATTGGAGCGAGTCCCGAAACTTCAAACCTTAAAAATATATGTATTAAAATGAGTTATTCGGTTTACATGCGAAACTATGCGTGTTTCAGAGTGTCAAAGAACTATTGACTATTTGTGATCCTCCCTGTGTCCATAGGTAGAGTTCTCTTAGACTCTGTCACTCTCCCTCAGGAACTGGAGTCTGGCACAGTGAACCACTCCGGCTTTTGTTCGCTGTTTTTTACTTATTCGTATTAAGAGAACAATATGGAAGAAAAACGTTTAAAGGTCAAAGTTGTTAATACAGTAGTGCAGTTAGAAGTATAGTAAATGAATAAGATATACGGTTTTTATAGCTGGTTCTAGTGTTAGTGATTTTTGTACGGTACCCAGTTGTTATTGTTGTTATATAATTTCATTTGAATCTTTTCTTCTCGGAGTAAATACGAGGTTTAACTGATAGTTTGTTAACCTTTACATTTTATAGCTGTTTCGGTCTCAGTCAGTGTATGGACACTCGTATCTATTTCTATCGAGCGATACTACGCCATCTGTCGACCGTTAGTGTCCCGACAATGGCAAACGTTATCACATGCCTACAAAGTGATTTTTTTCATATGGGGAGGTTCCTTGATGACGATGCTACCAATTGCTGTCCTCAGTCAACTCATACCAACTAATACCCCAGGCGAGTAAAACAAGCTGAAAATGATTAATATGTATTGCACACTAATGATAATTCAAAACACTGCAATGCATGCACTTATTTTTATATCTAAGAATTTAAGAAAAACAATTATATTTGCTGGAAAGTTTGTTAGGTGACGCTTGAACGAACATCATAGTTGGTTCTCTAAAAATTCATTTCAAATTCCTATAATATATGTAACTGATTTGAAAACGATTTGTGTTCTTTAAAAAAAAAACGATATTATTTGAAGATGCATGAAATGTAATGAACGATACTGGTTGAAGTTTTACATATAATGTTATTATTGTTTAAATACTACCTTAACGTTTATAGGCTAAAAAGGATAACAGATTTAAACTCTCTAAAATTGAGATGAAAACCAACTCAAATAAGTTGAATAATGACTTTCGATGTTTTTCGTATGTTTTTTTTTAAGGATAATCCATTTAGTGCTGTAGCCATTGTGATCGTTCATAGATAGGCAGATTTAGTGTTGTAGTCATTGTGATTGTTCATAGATAGGCAGATTTAGTGTTGTAGCCGTTGTGATTGTTCATAGATAGGCAGATTTAGTGTTGTAGCCATTGTGATTGTTCATAGATGGGCAGATTTAGTGCTGTAACTATTGTGATTGTTCATGGATAGACAGATTTAGTGTTGTAGCCATTGTGGTTGTTCATAGATAGACAGATTTAGTGTGTAGCCATTGTGATTGTTCATAGATAGGCAGATTTAGTGCTGTAACCATTGTGATTGTTCATAGATAGGCAGATTTAGTGTTGTAGTCATTGTGATTGTTCATAGATAGGCAGATTTTTTTTCATTTTAATTGCATATTTCTACCAATAAAAATGTTCTAATTACGGCAATGAGGGTAAGATAGGACATAAAATACGTAACAGAACGCTTGCACTATTTTTCGCTATAGCTATGGTAGCGTAAGGCTATTATTTATCATTTCTTTTTAACCATTGCACTCACTATTCGATGTTTCAAATCGTGCTTGAGAAATAGTTACTATTCGAAGTTTTTATATTAGCAAGAAATGTAATTTTCCATTATCAGTTTAAGGTAGTCATCAATAATTACGAAATAGTTTTACCAACTTCAAAGCCCATGCTAGCCGTTGACAAATAGCATTTCTTATTTACAGAAAGTATGATTTGAAATCATCGCGTCTGAGTCGGTTTAGATGAAAAGCTCTAGAATTCAATAAAATTGTATTCCACAAAGACTTCCAATACCAGAAACCCGCTAGGCAACATAACTACCAATGTAAAGAAAGTGTTTTACTAGTTATAATATTGACTTGATTTCCAAATTTCATGAGGTGTGGTTCCTAACTTTTGAATTCACCTCATCCTTAAAGTTACTGATGGTTTAAAGTATTTTTGTTTGTAGTCCATGTCTTTGTTGGTGGCCGGGTTCCTAATAATATATGAATCAAATGAAAATATTTAAACATAAATACTATCAATACTGAAATTAATCACTGCTGGAGCCTCTCAATATTGAAATTAATCACTGCTGGGGCTCCTCAATATTGGAATTAATCATTGCTGGAGCCCTTCAATATTGAAATTAATCACTGCTGGAGTCCCTCGGTATTGAAATTAATCACTGCTGGGGCTCCTCAATATTGGAATTAATCATTGCTGGAGCCCATCAATATTGAAATTAATCACTGCTGGAGTCCCTCGATATTGAAATTAATCACTGCTGGGGCTCCTCAATATTGGAATTAATCATTGCTTGAGCCCTTCAATATTGAAATTAATCACTGCTGGAGTCCCTCGATATTGAAATTAATCACCACTGGGGCTCCTCAATATTGGAATTAATCATTGCTGGAGCCCTTCAATATTGAAATTAATCACTGTTGGAGCCCCTCAACATTGAAATTAATCACTGCTTGAGTCCCTCGATATTGAAATCAGTCACTGCTGGAGTCCCTCGATATTGAAATTAATCACTGCTAGAGCCCTTCAACATTGATATTAATCACAGCTGGAGTCCCTCGATATTGAAATTAATCACTGCTTGAGCCCCCAGTGAATTTGAGAAAGAGAATAAACTACTTCGTTCAGCTTTTTGTTTCTGTGAACTTTTGTGAAATGAAAACGCGTAATATTACTCATTATGACCCATATGGACTCCAGGGGAAGTGAACGGTATAAAAACAGGTCCGTAAATTGAGGGTTAGGTTTCATTTAAACTTCGAATTAGTTCGTCAATTTTGTAAGCTACAACTTTCAATCTCAGCTTGTAGGACTTTAACGAGAACTTAATGAGATAACTCTATGGAGAAACAAATCATTACCGGTCTCAGATGACGTCACGTTGCTGGCTTCTTCCTGCAAAGCTCGAATAATACCAAAGTAGGTCACGGACATGGTAAGGACAGGAACAATCAGAAGAAGCATGTCCAAGAACAAGTTGAAGCCCCTTTCGATATCCTTGTTAGGCCACACCTCTCTACACTTCTGTTTTCCTGTTGCCATCAAATAAGAATAATTGTAATTATTAAATGTTCTAGATAAGGTACATCCTAAAATGATTTAGAATGTCATATTCAAGACTAGAACAATATGAAATGTTATAAAATTGACAGTAAAAGTATCAAAAGATTTCATAACTTAGAGTTTGATTCTCTAAGAAACTTGTTTCTGTAGCTAATGAATATTAAAAGGTTGCAATTTGTACTGTCGTGAGGTCAGCAAAATTTGCGCATGCCGTGAATCAAGAAAAGACTTATGCACTCTGAAGGCTATTACACAGCATGACGTATGAACTTCAAAAGCAAGAAATAAAAGATATTTGCCACTCTTAATTTTGGTTTTATTTACTCTTGTAAATTTGTGAACTTTACTACCACTGGAGACATAAAACTTTTAATTATAATGCTTGTTTGTTTTAGTATATAAACTATACGTATTTGTACAGGGTCCCCGAAAGAGTTTGATTCCCCGCAGTGGAATCTGTGATTTGCCCAACATTGGTATCGATCCCCGATTTGTAGCGTCGCAAATCTGCAGACTTACCCCTGAGCCATTCCACAGTAAACAGCTTATTGCGTAGCATTGCCTTAAAAACAAACATCATATTTTTTAAGCGTCCCGTATGTGACGTCATTTTAGTGTCTACTGACTGATCGACAGGTAACACATTACTTTACAGTGGTACAAGTGGTTAAAACGGGTGACCCCCTCCAAGCGGATTTCGGATCCCTTTCAGGAAAATAAGCTTTCAAGTTTACCAATGAGCCACTGATGAAAACTTGTGAATTGAAATAAAAAAAAATATCGGTAATGACAGATAAACAAGCAAGTAGAACGGCAGACAGAGAAGTAGTGGACTGACAAACAGTCCGATAAATCCAATACTGACTAAATAAGTTAAAGAATTCTAAGTTGTTTTTCCAATTCTAACTTGAACTAAGTATATATTAAAATAATATTGAGTAAGACTATATTAAAATATATCGTAAGGTAATTAAAACGATATAAACGTCGTTCCAAATTATTTTCAAATGTTTAGATAAAAATGAACGTTTCGTCATTGTCACGAACAGCTAATAGTATTGTAATTTCCTCCGGTTGATCTCTACCAACTGAGTTAAGTTGTTATCCCTCTAGCTCCTAATAGCAAGGCCATTTTAACAGCTCAAACTACCACATTCTTCTCTCCCCTCTCACAAACAAGGATTGTCCTTGAGCCTTACATCAGGGCCGTGACACAACCTTCCCGTTGGGCAACCTTTTTCAGGACCCTGATCTCTTCCAATTCATACCACCACAATAGGATATATATATACTTATATATACACTTCATAACAGTTGAATTCGTGTAATACTTTTAAAAACACACACACACACACATATAGGGCTTTTTGAACAAAATACATTCATCCCCGTCATTACAATCACAACCAGCTCGCACGTTTCTGTAACTTTCTAATCCTTCTCTGGTCGTCGTAATTTCGAAAGCATATTGTAACTAAAAAAAAAATCTCAATGTGGGATATCTAAGTGAAATTACATATTCTAAATTAAACATGAGCAGTCAGTTCGAAAATTATGACTCTAAATAGCACTACATAACGAACTCTGCAGAGTACGTTATGTAGTGCTATTTAAGGATATTTAACACCTACAGAGTACGTTATGTAGTGCTATTTAGAGATGTTTAACACCTACAGAGTACGTTATGTAGTGCTATTTAGAGATATTTAACACCTGCAGAGTACATTATGTAGTGCTATTTAGAGATGTTTAACACCTGCAAAGTAAGTTATGTAGTGCTATTTAGAGATATTTAACACCTACAGAGTACGTTATGTAGTGCTATTTAGAGATGTTTAACACCTACAGAGTGCGTTATGTAGTGCTATTTAGAGATATTTAACACCTGCAGAGTACATTATGTAGTGCTATTTAGAGATGTTTAACACCTGAATACATTATGTAGTGCTATATAGAGGTGTTTAACACCTGCAGAGTACGTTATGTAGTGCTATTTAGATGTGTTTAACACCTGTAGAGTACGTTATGTAGTGTTATTTAGAGACTTTTAACAACTGCAGAGTACGTTATGTAGTGTTATTTAGAGACTTTTAACAACTGCAGAGTACGTTATGTAGTGCTATTTAGAGATGTTTAATACCGGCTGCAGGTATTAAACATATCAAAATAATACTACATAACGTACTCTGCAGGTATTAAACGTATCTAAATAACACTACATAACGTACTCTGCAGGTATTAAACATATCAAAATAATACTACGTAACGTACTCTGCAGGTATTAAACGTATCTAAATAACACTACGTAACGTACTCTGCAGGTATTAAACGTATCTAAATAACACTACATAACGTACTCTGCAGGTATTAAACGTATCTAAATAACACTACATAACGTACTCTGCAGGCATTAAACATATCAAAATAATACTACGTAAAGTACTCTGCAGGTATTAAACGTATCTAAATAACATT